GCAAGAACCTTGAAGGAATCCACTGCAATTTTAAGGCGACAAAACAAAACAAAACATAATCTGGATTTAAAAAATCTGTCTGATATTAACATTTACTCTGCAAACAGTTGAAGAAAGACATTGTCCTGTACTGCTATGTACGGTATTGACAGGTGCAATTTTGGATGCAATCAGCACCATTTTCGACAAGTTCTTTTCTTGTTGTTTAATGATCCTCAACATTCATAATAAATTAAGATCAGATACTTTTGTTATTTGTAACTACACTTATCATATTCTTTCGAGTGTAGGGACCCGAAGGCGGCCGACGGAAAACGGTTGGATTCCGTGATTTCAGCCTTGCTTACTCTAGGCTAGAGTAACTAAGGGTATGATCGTGCTGCTCGGTTTTGCGCAGTTTTAAAACACACATAATATGAATTTAGCACGTAAATGTGCAAAACAGTCTTAGTAAATGTCAGTAACATAAATATTTCAGCATTCTTAAAAATTCCATATTTTGAGCACTGAAACTGCTTAGGTGTGGCATAGCAAGAGGAAAGGCCCATTAAATTATTTGTGGAATGCAGGCATTGTTTGCCTATAAGCTAAAATTTAACATTAACCAATTGGAAACAAAACAATTGGCTGATTGCGACACCAATTTAATTTGTTGGTTCTCAGATTCGCCTCTTCATTTTTTCCTGATTTGCAAAAAAAAAAAAAAATTCAGAACTAGAGTTCGATGATCTCATACCTCCATGACATGTGTATTGTTTTCATAAATCTTACGCATGGTGATGACCACCTGTAATTGGCTTACATTTTTCACCGCATATATTCAAATCATATGAGGCCATTTGCATATATTGTATCAATTGATCATACTCTCCACCAAATGACAGGGTTATCTTAAGAAATAAGGCTATTCTAGCGTTTCCTCATAAATTATGCAAATGAGGTCCTGATTGACATAAATTATGTTTAGTGATGGTCACCTTCACTGAACTTCCAATTATGGCAAGTATTAAATTCCCAGCAGTTACTACCATAAAATTGTACCAATTTGCCATTTATTATGCAAATTAGGTCTTCCTTTACATAATCGATATCTGCCAATGATCATGTCATTCTCACTAACATATGTCTATAGAGTTTTATAGCCCTAATATGAAATACAGCTGATTTATAGAATTTCCTCATTAATTATGCAAATTAGATCCTGATTTGCATAATGATATTTTGATTATGTCAAGCATCACTTAAGCTACCTACATACCAAAAATCATGATGATCCATCAAACGGTTGTTCAGTTATCCTCTCTCGAAGATTTTCAAAGAAACCACCCTGCAGTTCCAGAACAAGCCGCTAGGGGAACCAAACTCACGTGACTTCTTCCCGAGGACAAGAGCTACCTTCCATCCAAATTTCATGACCCTAGCATGTCCAGATCGCGAGATATCAAAACCGGAAGTTGCGCTGCAGTACCAAGGGAAGCCACTAGGGGGCCCAAAATCTAATCATTTCCAGTTTTCGTCACACCCTACCAACACACCAAGTATGAAACCAATCCATCCAGGCGTTCTTGAGTTATCTTGTTGACCAACAGACTGACAGACGGACAGACAGACAGACGGACAGATGGACAGACGGACAGATAAACGCAACTGAAAATATAACCTCCATGACACATTTCATGGAGGTAATCAACTGCAAAATGCTCATATTTTGCCCTGAACAGTTGAAAACAGTCCTTTTCTCCCTAGTCATTACAGTTATTCCATCTTTCAAATTCATTGTTTGAATTTTGAACCAGCCTTTTGTGTTGACTTCATACCTCCTATCGTAGCATTTGGGGCTATAATAGGATGCCTAGATCTGTTTTTATTTTAATTTTTTTTCGCCCTGTCGCTTCAAATTTTTCCTGAAAAAATCCGAGAACCAACAAATTAAATTGGTGTGGCCTAAGAAAAGGACAAAAGGACTTTCACAGAATCCTGCTTTGAAAGTTTCAAATTAAAGGAGCAACAGCACTGAGGGCTCTAAAAAAATGTAAGCATATCACAATTTAACTGTTTCTTTATAAGATAACACGTACATGTACATGTATCACTAAAAGTTAAAAGAAACTTACAATGGACATAATAAAATTTTATATTATTCAAAATCTCCTGCATCTCATGGCCTAACAACTGGTATCTTATGATCTAAGGATTGGACATGATTTTCAACATGACAACTCTCTACAAAATTGGAACAAGTTGCAAGTGTTGACATTCAATATTTCCCTCTTCATGTTTTAGTTACAAATCAAGTGTGAAAACTCTGCAAGAAATTTGGCTTGTAAATGACCTTTCGACATCTCTCCCTCTTAACTCCTTACTTTTGTCTATCTATTCAGCTCTCTTCAGTTATTTATTCATTGTCCACTTCAGAAAGGACTCAGAGTGCAGTTATTTTGTATGCCACGCTTTTGTTCTGGAAGGGTACTAGGTGCACTCATGCATAGAGGTCACCATGCTTCCATAACATCATTAGGGCTACATGTAGAGCACCAGGTGTCATTTCAAGGCTAAAATTACTCGCAGAATAAGTAGCTACATTCAGTTTAACCCTTGTTCTGCTGGCATTTTTTACACAATATTTTGAAATAATTTGATGTCTTAATCGGTTCACACACCCTTGACTTTTTTGTGCTGCGGTAGGGTAGTTAGTTCCGCATTCGTTGTGTTTCGCTGCAGTGTGATGCGACCGCACGAGGAATACCCCCAAATTATACATCTACAGGGCACTGTATGTACTGTATGTGCAACCTGTATATTATATGGGCTCTGGAGGACAAGGGTTAAGATTGCGAAATGGACAAAATCATATGCTCGGAGATTAATGCACAATACTACCATATTGTGAAAATTCCGCATGACATTTCACTATCAGTTTTCATGGATCTTATTTATTCCGAGTGGAATAGGGAAAAGTCAATTCTGAATGCCAACAAGCAAAGTCAGGCCATGAAATTAGAAATTACATGACCACCTTATAACATAGTCCCAAAGGACTAGCATAAAGAAAATTGTGGGATATTCATTTGGCAATTACACTGAAAGAACTACATCATGTATCTGTAAAAAAAATAATGGCTGATATGCCAAAAAGGTTTCCGAATTTTCGTTACATAAATAAGCAAAACCTGGATAGTGAGTGAGTGAGTGAAATGCAAATTGTAGTTTGGTACACTAGAAGATGGTGTTGGAGGTCTTCAGGGCTCAAATTGTGTCATCAATTCAAATTTCACGCTTTAGCTTTCTGAATTGGCATGCAGGCAGTCAATGCCCCCCTCCCCATTGACATTAAGATACAAATCTGTTCAACTCAAAGAAATGTATAGAACAAGTGACTAATCTCCATATTCATGGATTACTACATGTATGAAGAATGACAATTTTACACCATATACATGTACCTTTGGAAAGTTGTAAAAAAAATGTTTATTTTTCAAATGACCGGTTTCAATATCGGTTATTGCTTTTGACCCTATACTGCATTCAGAGTGAAGCAGACCGATTTATGAAATTCCAAATTATTCCATTCTATGAGTCTGATGGGAATCAGGTATGTATTCCGTGGGGAGTTGTGTGCCATTAATTGGACGTTGGACAACGCTGGGTGAGGGGTGTTCAAAATTTCTGTGACACTAGATTTCCAGGTTAAAATCTACTAACTAAACAGACTACAGCTAATATGTTAGTATTATGTGCTTATATGCTTTTGAAAATGGCCTTAAAGATAATTGTCAGCTAGAAATTCATAATTCATGCTTGTCCTTGCCTAACTCTTTTATCAAAGCAACACGAATTATCTCTCATGGCCCTACGCAAACAAATCTAAAAAATTCAATTACTGTACTAGAGATTGCTATGACATACCTTATCTTGATTAAAAGCAAGATTATAACAAACTTTTGTAATATTAATGTATAATATATAATCTGTCCTCAGCATTATTGATGCCTTGCCAAATGGCATTGTATGATCAGTACAGTTGCAAGTGTAGAGTTATCTAATTTAGGACTAACTGAATATTTTGCAACATAAATCTACCACAGACAGCAACTGCATGCTTATCGTAATTATCTTAATTAGCATAGTAATTATGATCGTGCCCTATGGTATACAGTGGTATGCAATGAGCATAAATTACGCAAATCAGTGGCCATACCGGTAGCTACTGGTCATTGATATTATCATAATGGCATGTTGCACAAGTATGTGTACTTATGTGTACAAATGACAGACAGACGTTTTGATTTGATTACGATCACTTGGTTACAACAACAGATGTCCGACAGTAGTTTGTTTTGTTTAACAACATGAGGATCCCACGTTGCTGTCACATTCTACACAAGCACACGCCCACCCTAGCTGAAATCGACACAGCGCTAGGAACGTGATGGTGAAATGTACTGCGCCACTCGGGGGAAACATTAGCAACATTCCCGGAACACAACACCAATCAGTTTCAACAACTTCCCCCGGGCTCTTTCCTGGATTCTGTAAACCAAAAAGGGGACAGAAGGCGGGAAATTCAGCGGTTTGGCTACCCGATGAACCCGGTACGAAATATTATAGACGGCTAGGCTGCGTGCTCACCAAGCATAGCTTCCTCGCAAATAACAACTTGTTTATTCATGGCGTAAAAGACCGGCAACATGGCGTAAATAACACAACTAAGCACACCGTGATCACGATCTGTGATTTGGGTAAGAGTACATGGTTAGTGAGTGGGAGAATACAACTAAAATGGCACGGCATTTAGAGATCCAATCGACCTAGAAATAGAAAGAAAATCGTTCACGGTTCCCTCCCAGATGGTGCGTTATTTCCCCCAGTAATCCTACCTACGCTTGAAATCTCCCGATTTTCGCGCGCAAATATGGTTTCCCAGGAACCAGGAAAAACACGGGTTTTCTAGGAAATTAGCAGGACTGGGGATAATTATAGAGGAATGGAGTAATTCTCACCTTTAGGACGGTTGAAGATACGACAGGTCCGAGGATCGTCTGTTTGCGCAGAGTGACAACCGGTCTGCGCATCAGTAGATAAATTATGCATCACCTTTCGGGGACAAACCATTCAGATAGAATATAGGGGTGTCCGTCTAGTACTCTCCAAGCAGAGGTTTGGGTTTGGGCTTTCTTTGGTATTGCAGCAGAACTTCCAGGTCTCGTGATCTGGACATGCTTGGTTACGATTTTTGCTTGGTGGAGAGCCTTTGGAATAGAGAATAAGTGACGTAGGTTTGGTCCCCCTAGCAGCTTGTTATGAAACTGCAGGGCCGTTTTTCATAAAATATTTGAAAGTTTATAACGCGAGAAGAGGTTGATGGATTATCATGATTTAGGAATGTAGGTAGTTATGGTGAAAATTTACATAATGAGATATTAATTATGCAAATAGGTGTCTCAGTTGCATAATTAATGCAAAAGTTCAGAAATCACTAACGTTATAGAACATTAAATCTTGTGACATATGTAAGGCCACGGCAAGTACGTTAGTATTATGGATGACATCAACGCGCGCATTAATTTTCTAGTACATTGTGCTCTGTATGACGTACGTTTCTCAGTAATGTCAAAGCAGATCAAACGGTGGCAAGGCAGTATCCATTGGCCAGAGGAGTGTCCATTAGCCATCTAGCCCTCCTCTAGCTACTCCTCTGGCGAATGGATACTGCCTTGCCACCATATGATCTGCTTGGAGATCATTTCTGAAAACTGTGGAGGGCACCTGCGACTATACATGGCGCCGGTGCGCAGTTCTGACTGTTTCTGATAGAAGGCGCTGCTGACCGGTCGACCGCGAACGAGGGCATTTAGGATTTTAGTGTCAGGCACGTGAGAACGTTATGGAAAGTTCTTTGATTTCAACCTACATGTATTGGTTTTAAAGTTTCAACAAAGAAAGATGAGCTTTGATGGATGTAGTAAACCGAGTAGTTGAAATCGTTCACTGTAATCATTACCTTCGCCAAGAAGGTTATGTTTTCAGTAGCGTTTGTCTGTGTGTTTGTGTGTGTTTGTGTGTGGTTTAGCAAGATAACTCGAGAAGCAGTGGATGGATTGGAATGAAACTTGGTAACGTTAGGTGGGTAGGTCTTCATGAGACCTAGAAATGTTTAGATTTTGGGCCCCCTGGCGGCTTTCCTAGGTACTGCAGCAGAACTTCTGGTTTTGATATCTCGTGATCTGGACATGCTAGGGTCACGAATTTTGGATGGCAGATAGCTCCTGGGATAGGGAAGAAGTGACATGAGTTTGGGTCCCCTAGCGGCTTGTTCTGGAACTGCAGGAGCATTTGTTGAAACATTTTCGAACGAGGATAACTCAAGAACCGGTTGACGGATTGTCTTGATTTTTGGTATGTAGGTAGTTGAAGTGATGCTTGACATGATCAGACTATTATGCAAATCAGGAGCTTATTTGCATAATCAATTAGGAAATTCTATAAATCTGCTTTGTTCGATAACAGAACTATGAAACACTTGTGACATCATTTCTGAGAACGAGAAAAAACATGAGGATATAGATTATGTAAATGAGGACCTAATTTGCATAATAGATGGCAAATTTTTATAAGTTCATAGTTGTAACTGCTGGGAATTGCATACTTGCCACATCAACTGATATAATCCATGCAAATGGGGCTCTTATTTACAATATCAATGATTAAAATTGTATAATTTGTCAACCACAAGGGTTAACATCATTTGGCGAAGGTATGAGGTCGTGGAACCCTTGTTTGCTTATTTGCTCATGATCGAGTTCTTTTCAATGCTCATATGAATGGACGTTTAAACATTTCCATTTCTTCCTTCCGTATTCATTCCGTGATGGCATACGATTTCGGCCTGAAATCAGCTCAGACACCAAAGTCTGTCTGTTTCGGTGGCACGAACAACAGCCCTTGTTCAGGGGTGCCAGAGTATACAGCGCAAGTTTACGGAATACTGTGAGTACTAGTGCAAGTTTACTAGTATACAGCGCAAGTTTACGGAATACAGTACTAGTGCAAGTTTACTAGTATACAGTGCAAGTTTACGGAATACAGTGCAAGTTTACTAATGACGTTGTTATGACGTAACCTGGGCCGGCTTTCCAGGGACGCCGCTGATGGAGTGTACTCACATCTTTCTGTGTTTTTCGAGTGAATTTGGACCGTTCTCATAGATAGACCTTTAGTCAAATCACTACATACTACACACAGGGCATGTTACTACACAGGGATCATTTCAAATTCGCTCGAAAAAGACAGAAATATGTGAGTCAGCGGCGTCCGCCATCTTGAAAATGAAAAAAAAAGCAGGGAATTCGAAAGCCGGGTCCAAGTAACGTGATTCAACGTCATTAGTAAAATTGCACTGTATTCCGGAAAATTGCACTGTATTGTGTATACTAGTAAAATTGCACTGTATTTTAATACGATTGCACTATATTCCGTAAAATTGCACTGTATTCTAATACGATTGCACTGTATTCCGTAAAATTGCACTGTATACTAGTAAAATTGCACTGTATTCCGTAAAATTGCACTGTATACTCTGGCACCCCTGTTGTTATTTCTAAGGTATAAACAAACACTTTATCATACATTAATGTACATTAGTGTACTAAATTATATTCATTTTCTCTCTTGAGCATAGATGCCAGAACAAAAATCCAAATACACTGTAATGGCATTTAGAATTCCACCGATCATAAAGACACATTTTATAACTTCTAAACTTCTTGTAATTTCATACTCATTTGGAAGTTAAGTGAAGGTGAACATCATTAAGCATAAATTATACCAATCAGGTTTGATCATTTGCATAATTTATGAGGACATGCTAAAATGGCCTTGGTTGTCAAGATAAGACTGTCTTTAGGTGGAAAATATGATATATTTCATGGTATAATTCATGATATATTTCATGATATAATTCATAATATAATTCAGGCAAATGAGCATTTTATTTGGATAATCAATGAGAAACATAATTTGCCAAACGTAGGGTCAACATAATTTGACGTATGAGGTATAAGATCGGGGAACTCTTGCTTTTTGATGCACGGGGAAATCCTCTGTGATTCACTGCCTAAACGCCGGCCTCCCTCGTGATCCTGCCACTGACGTATTCATCCCGATTGTGGTTCTCTTTCAGCTGCCTTCCGCCGGAAATGATTTGATGGACGACTCAGAGCTCCAGACGCCACTGGAATCGAAGCCGAGATTGGGACATTTGTCATGTTGCAACATCAATTCCCCAAGCTGTCTCGTCCTGTTGCCCAGTCTTAACATCTACTAAGCTTCTTTGTTTTTGAATTACCTTGGCTTTCAGTTCGATATATTTCTAGATCCCTCACTAAAGCAAGGGGATGTTTTGCTTGTACTCTTCTGGTTCTGTACGATCTAAGCGTTCTGCCTATGTAGTGATAGGTTTTTTTTCCCCAACATTTCCAATTTATTCCAACACGTAATCACCAGACGTGGTGACGACACACTCAACTTACATTAATGCCGCCACCAACACAAGGGACAAATACATGACAGGACAATACTCATTTACACCTGAGCTGAGTGAGGAAAGTCGTGTAAAGTGCCTTTCCCAAGGGCACAAGATCGGTGGCATGTCAGGACTCGAACCCGGGACTCTAAGTTCCGAGTCGCGCACTCTGCCACTACGCCACACGACCCCACAGGTTTTTGTATGCTCACTTCAGCAACGGAAATTGACTTTTACACTAAGAATCCAACCATCCTTTTATTTTAGAAACACGGCTATATTTATTTAAGCAACAGATACTTTTAAGAAAAGCTGGCCGGAAGCCAAGATGGGAATACTAGTAGTTGGTTGGGTGGCGTAAATGTGATGACGATGTGTGGCAATGCGACTGGACTTAGATGCCACTTGTAGTATGTACCATGAGCCCTTTTGTAATACAGATATTCTGTAATATTATACATTAATGTTAATTAGTTGTTACGTGCGGTAAACAACTGCGTCACTTCCCAAAGTTAGGCCAGTCCTCCTGACCTCTGCTTGTTTTTCATTACCCTCCATGTAAATGGGGGGTATTGTTTTTACTCCGTTTCATGTTTGGTCTGATATCTGAAGATCGGTGAGAAGGAACTGTATGATATTTGGCAGATTGATGGATGGGGCCTTGGAGATTGTGTAGGTTGACTTTGAGCACCTGGTGATTGACCTTGGTACTGCAGTTTAATTTTTTTATTCTATTGTTGACACGTTATGGTCTGTGTGTGCGATGCTAAGGTAGCATGTAGTTGTGGTTACAATGGTTTACTGATGTAAATTTGGGCCCCCTAGCTGTTTGCTTTGAACCGGAATTGCTATCTCAATGTCAGATTGTTTGCGTTGAATGATCTCAGAACCCGGTGGATGGTTGGCGATCATTTTTGGTATGTGGGTAGACGCTGATTGTCTTTGCGTTTTAGCGTGCATTAGCAGGTTGTCGTAGATTTGCATTGCTTATTTAAAAGGATTTTCACATTTTCACCCCTATTTCATAATAGGATGGTCTGTTTGACCCCAAATTGGTACAGAGTGTTTTTGTTTATACCTCCAGCTGGCAGGTCAGGCCAATCTATTTTTACCTCTAGACCATGTCTGCAGGAAATATATCTTATCTTTAATCGGTCATTCAGCAGGGAACTGGGTCATCTGTGGTTTGTTAATATGTTGTGCTTGAGAGGTCATTGACCTCAAACAAACCATGGTAACAAGACACTAAACGCCTGCACATGACAGCTTGATAAATATAGGCAACCCCTTCCAATACGAAGTGCCACAACAAAATTCTTAAAGGATAGACATCTATAGACATCTATCATTCTGCTGATAAAAAACAAAGTTTGACTCATAGTATCTCTATTAAAATACACCAAAAGATTACAAAATAACAAGCTATTTCATGGAGGGACGATGTCTACGACTTCTCCTTGTTAATATGGCACCCAACAACCCAACTATGGAGCGTACCAACGACGGAAGGTGATAGCACAAAGCCGGGATTATCCGAAGACCGTGGATTGTTCAATTTCACGGCCGTACGTGG